ATGATAATCCACTTCTTTCCTCCAAGACTGTGTTATGATCTATATGACCTTATTATTTGTATTGTGAGTATTAGGCTTATCATTATTGCTGATCACTCTTGTTGTAAATATTGTAATATTTACCATTATATAATCAGAGCAGTATAGAAAATGTTATGAAAGTGTCACTCCATAATACAATAGCAAAATATATAAATATGTATAGTATTTTTATGTTACATTAATCAGGGTCTGGAAACATTTTGTTCAAACCGGAAACCGTAGCAAAACGGTGCACACCGGTTTGAGCTTGAACTTGCCCCTGGTTTGCCATATCTCCACAGCTGACCCTCAGAGTAAGGTTTACTTAAAAGGGACCTTTTTTTAAAGCACGGTTATCTAAAAAATGTCTTAAATAAAACAGTTTTATTTGGGCATGCAGGATATGGAAGATATGGAGGACTAAACCTGAAATAAAATTACAAAAATAATAAATAAAAAATACACGTTTGTGCATAAACATATAAATCATTAAATCTGGCAAACAACAGTAAATAAATAAATAAATTTGATTATAATTGTGCAATGACAGTTTTCAAGTAAATTATTTATTTATTTTGCAAGCAACACGTTGTCTATGGAGTAATTTAATTTACTTTAATAAATAAATTAAATAATATATAATTAAATGAAATGTAATAATGAATTATTCAACTATTTATTTATTTGTATGTGTTTTTACTTAAAATGTTGTAATAAGCATAAATAAAAGTAAGTATACATAAATAAATTGGGCGTGAAATGTATTTAATTCTGTAAAATGAAACATGACCTGATATACACCTTGATTTTTTTTTTAATAATTTTATTAAATATTCTTTATTTGTCTATTTTTAGCCCGTTAAATCATTCCATAACTCGCCTTAATGTCTATACCATGCTTGCTAGTGTTACTTTTGTTTTGACACATTAATGGTTTTCGCCAGTAGATCATCATCAGTCCTCAGAAAACACCCGAGAATGAAATGTAATAGACCTACTATCAAAAGACCAGCAGAGAGGCCGTTCGGCACGCTCACGGTTATTATTAGGTTTTGTGTTGTTGACAACCATCTGGATACAGGATTAGACCACAGGATTTAGTTTTTGAGGATGAGGATCATCTCGGAGATTGAGGAGCACAGTGTGGAAGCTGGAGGAGCTGAACACGCAGCGCCAGCTGAAGCTTGGGCTCTGATCCTCTGGGGTGGGTGGGGCATGCCAAATTATTATTATTTTTTTTTCCCCTTCAGTACAGATCCATCACCCATGTGCGCAAGATATACAGTAGGTGGCGGTAATATTCCTAAGGAGTTGAACGGCCATTGAACAAAAAGAAGAAGAAGAAGACAACCATCTGGAAGCACACACACACACATCCCCACAGCAGGGACTGGCGCTCTCTCTGGCAGCGGCAGGGCGCAGCGCCACTTCCGGTGGCATCCCCAGCTGCCACTGGCAGCTGCCAGCGGTCGTGGC